AATCTGAAAGAAAATAATGAGAAGCATTTCAAGCAACAAATCAAACGCCGACAGGAAATGAAATCCAGCTAAAAAAAATAAGGAAGTAAATAAACTATAACAAGAAATATTCATGAGTCAATGTAACAAATTTTAATTTTACAAAAAAAAAGCATTACTCTCTTTCTTTTTCTTGTGACTCTGTCACGTTCAATAATTTGAAGACCACTCAATAATCGCAAGTAAATAATAAAAACTTCAAAAAAAATATCTACCAAAATTGACATTATTGTTATATCTTCAAACTAGAAACAAAAATGATACGATACAGAGATAGATGATGATATGGAAATTTGATTGGCTAATACTCACTATGCCTCTTGAGCCATCCACTTTAAGATAAGATGGGTCCTACACTCATCCAATATAAACCAATATCTCATGATTTCTTATCTAATAACATCACTCCTCACCGTTAGATCATATTACACCAATCATAACCGTACCGTATTACCATACACCGCGATACACTAGATTATATTTCATCCACTCTTGAAATACTCGTTTCCTTCCTCTCATTGTCAAAAATTTGTCTAACCACTGAAGATGGAGTCACGCGTGCTGCTACGCGCCACCGCAACGGTCGCCGGAGTTTCGCAATTGAAGCGACCGATCGGAGCGATTCACCGTCAATTTAGCACTGGGTCGTTGCTCACGGCTTTCGCTAAACCGATAGGTACAATCAGAGAAGGAGCGAATCTGATCTCCGGTCGTCAGCTCCGACCGATTCTCCTTCTCGATTCTGCGATCAACGGCGGAGATAAAAGAGAGATTCTCAAGCCGGTTAGAGCTTCCGCCGCCGCTGAAGGTGGAGATTCCGCTGGGTAAGATTGAGGTCCGTTTCGGTTAGCTCATACCGAGTTAACTCGTTTGGCTCGTGTGGTCTGACTCGTTTTTATTTGTTTTTCTCTCGCAGGGAAGCGAAAGTTGGATTCCTCCAGAAGAATCCGTGGCTCGTCACCGGATTCTTCTTCTTCATGTGGTACGTGTCACTCACTCACGGGCTTATCTTTAAAACCTGCGCATGTTAGTCAGATTACTGTGATTTTACCGCCAAAAGTTCGATGAGTGTTGAATTTACGATTTTACCCTCGGGTTTTTTTATGCAGGTACTTCTTGAATGTGATTTTCAACATTCTTAACAAGAAGATCTACAATTACTTCCCTTATCCCTAGTAAGTAAACAACATTTACCATATCTGTGTGTCTTAATCTCTATTTAATTATTTGTGTTTAGAGTTAAATCGCAATATTTTAAAATTGAAGTCAAACTTATTATGATCGAACCATATTCTATTGGTCCAATTAAGAATCGAATCCGAATATCTTTTGTTTGTTTTCTTATAATTTTGTTATTTGTGTCATTTTCTTTTCAGTTTTGTATCGGTTATTCACTTGTTCGTTGGAGTTGTATACTGTTTGATCAGCTGGTCCGTGGGCCTTCCTAAACGGGCCGTAAGTCCTTCTCTTCACAGCCCATTTATAGATCTTTGTTTGTCTTAAG